CTTTTGTGAATTGAAACTCATAAGATTGGAATTCATTCATGGAGGCAGAGCTTAGTTCTGGGATATATTAAACAATACTGTACCCATACAGAAAAATAATTTCTGAGCATATTCAACATGTACTATTTTTCTTAATTTAATTAGCATACATCTGGAATTAAAATCAGCTCTTTCAATTAGAGAGTGCAGTTTCAGATGGCAGGAGCCTTTATCCCTCTGTTTTCTGAAAAACACATTACCATAATAATGCTACAAATACTATTGGGTGCATTCAAAAGTTTTAAAATTTACAGTAAATAATTATGTATAAATATGTTCAAAACAGAATATTCCTGGATTAAAAAAAAAAACTCTCTAGAAGCCAATATGGTATAAAATCTGAACATTTCATTACTAAGATCCAAAACAGGATAGCATGAATAATAAAACCAATATTGTATACCAGAAGGTGATAATACCAAATCCTTCCTATAGCAATCAGATATATTGGAAGTACAGATCAGGCAAAAACTTCCCAGACCCATAGAAATCCTACTTCCAAAATGAAAGAAGACAAGAGAGAGATTGGGGGGGGGAGAGAAATGAATCCACAATCTGGTTTCCAGGTGTTCCTCCTAAGATGCATCATTTTTAGCTTCAGGGTCATGACCGTATGGATCCATCTGTGGATGAAAAGATCTCATCTGGAGATAAGAGCATTCAAAACTGTCAGAAAAAATAGGGAATGCATCAGGTTTTCCTCAGGAAGGTGGCGCCATCTGGAGCAAGGTATCTACAGGTAAATTGCATGCTAGATTTATCCATATATTTGAATAAGATCTGTTTGTACTTCTTGAACTTCTTGCATCTCTCAGATGATATCAAAATGCCCCTGGAAACGTCGTACCAAGCTGTAGAGTCCGGAGAGCAAGTACAGGAAGGCAGATTTACCAGCAAAGATAGCAGCCACTAAGTAGGCAGTGTAACTGCAGGGCTGGCTGTAACCTGGCAGGGTGCAATAGCTGATGCTCCGCGCCTTGTAGCCTATGATGGCCGCAGCAGCTGTGAAGAAAATAAGTCCAAGCAACAGGTCATGCAGAATGTTTGTTAGAAGCCAGCGGGTCCCCAGTACAGGAATCAGAGTCCATCGGCCCAATACACTGAGCCCAAAAAGAACCAAGGTAAGGAGCCACACCAGGACTGCTGCAAAGACTGCAAAGTAGGTTGCTCCTTCATACTTGTGTGCCGCTAAAGTTATCCAGCAGACAGCACCAAACAGCAGCTGTGCTATACGCAGGCCTCCTAACAGGCTTCGTAGGAAGGGCCTGTTCAGGCTCAGAGATTCTCTAGATGCTGGACACGGGGGTGGCGGTGAGGAAGGGGGTGGTGGAAGAGGCATGTTATATCACTAGGTCCTCCGCAGCTCTTGTCTCCTCTAGTGCCTTCTTCAGCCCAGCAAATCTCACTCCCCTCTTAGGCACTTCCTCTGTCTGCAGTTGCCAAACATCTGCAGCTTAGCAGTTGTTCCTGCACTAGGGCCTCTCAATTTCCTGTTCTAGCCCTCCCTTTCCCACCCTTGCCCCTCCTTTTTTGGGAGTTTATTTCATTTCTCCTTCATCTTACTAACAACTCTCTCCCTCTCTCCATTGCCCCTGTAGCTCTAGCCAAGAACTTAAAATGCTGCCTTCTTTAGAATCATAGTTTCCTTAGTTCTGTTACTACTTGGGCCAACAAGGCTCTGCCAAACCCAAAAGATTGACTAAAGAAAATATGGACTCTGCAGACATCAAGTTCAGTCCCTCCCTTCTGCATGGAAAAGGGCCAAGTGATAGTCAGATAGTCACTCACTAAACTCCTTAAAAGGAAGAACTTGAAGATGTAAACATAAATGTACAAATAGTTTCTTCATTTGTTTCTCTAGCATTTAAATTCTGTTACATTCTTTAGATTGCAGAGAGGCAACCTTTGATTTTGGAGAAGCATAGTCTCTTTTAAACCTTCCCTTTTTGCTGCAAGTAAAACTTTTTATCAACCTCAAACTGAAGCTGATCTAATCACATCCGT